ATGGACTTGATCTGGACTGATGGGCTTGATCTGGACTGATGGACTTGATCTGGACTGATGGACTTGATCTGGACTGATGGACTTGATCTGGACTGGGCTGGGATGTTTTCTTAATGTACAATTACTCTGTATATAAAGTTCTTTCCTATACACATATGAATGTCTATGAATTTGTTTCTCTTGTCTACTCAGACTAACACACACCTCAATTCTTCTAATAGGGCCCTTATCTGTTGAAGTCCCTGATTTCTCACCTTACTAAAAGCACCACACTGAGGTCAGAATCCATTTGAAGAAATCAGGACTCTCAACTACACAGAATTACTACGCATTCACGTACAACCGCCCCTGGAGTTCAACTTTGTCTCATAATGTTCATCAATGCATCTAAGTCAGACCCTGTTTATTTTGTCCATCTTGAGCACACGTACAGTCTCACGAGGCCATGTTCTCCGGTCAACACCTGCCTTTCCTTTAGACCTAACTGGCTGTTCCACCACTCACCTCTTCCCCTCCGCAGGTGAATGATAGTTACCAGCACCCACTCAGCTGAAGACTCCGTTTGAGGGAATGTATGTGTACTTACTTATACTGGAGATAGGGTTTATGCACGATCAAAGCTGGCAGCCCTTTGGGAAGGGCTCAGGATTTGCTGTGGTATGTCAATTAAGAACCGCTACTCCACACAAGTCCAAAGGGCTCAGACAGACTCACTCTTACATTTCCCCTGCCTCACTCTGAGAGTTTTCGAACCTTCATTATAAACACACCTGGACACCAAAGATCGTACACCTTCTGAGGCGTCTTTTTAACGAAGGCAGAACTGCCACAGGTCAAAATCTGCCCCCCTTTTGCTCCAAGGATACACACGCCTCTGTTGCTTGATCAAGAGCTCTTTGGGTGATGCTAATAGTGAATGCACTCAACTGCTGACAGAAAGCTTGGAGGTTCAAATCTACCCAGAGACACTTGGAAGAAAGGCCTGGAGATTCACTTCTGAAAGCCTGCTATTGAAAATCCCACAGAGCCCAGTTCTGCTACTCGCATGGGGCTGCTGTGCCGTGGGATGTACTCAGTGCCTTCATCAGAACCAGCGAGCTGGGCTGGAGAGTCCAGGACAGACGTTCCAGCTCGGGCATAGCACAGAGCAGGTACAGCCG